ATTATAGTATGCTATAAAAAAATACATTTTTTCCATTAAAGAAGTCTTTATCATATAATATTTAAGTATATTAGGACACAGCATCCTACCATACATCACTGAAACGCAGCCTACGATTACTTGGTACAGTGCAGAACTGTCTCAGCTCAGTACTGCTGCCAGAACCCTCACACAAACTGAGAGCTCAGGAACATATGCAGATCAAAGTTAAGCATTTGGCAAGATCTGCCAGAGGGAGCTTGGCCTGTGTTGCACAAGTTAAGAGCCATTAAAAAGTTCTGTTTTAAATGCAGAGACATGTCAGATTTTGAAGACTAATTGTGATTGCTGGCAAAAGCAACCACAAATCTCCCGTCTATATAGATTTCTGATGCTTCTGAGCAGGATCAGAAGAGATTCCGGAGTCTATGAAAGGGCAATCTTATATTTTAAGGGATGTCTTGAGCCAGTTCTAATGCACTTGAGATTTTCCTAACGCAAGCCCAGGCTTTCACACTGTCAGTGAACTCATGAGATTTCAAACCTAAACTAAAGGATCTTTGGCAGAAAGTTAAATGATCAGAAAGTGTAGGAAAAAAGTATTCTGCATCAAAACTTAAGATTGGAGATGTGTGTGTTTTTCTATCTACTGTTGCAACTACAAGAACAGATTTGATTTCTCCCAATTCCAGAACTCCATGATTAAATAAATGTGGTCACACTGTAACTCTGTAAACAGTAACATATTTCATTCAAGAGTGGTAGATAGTAAACAGTAGAAAGTAACAGAATTAAAGCAAGTTTCTTGTAAAAGCCTATGTACTAAATCATGTAAGACTCCAGCCAAGAGGTTTGCTCGGTGTGTATGAAGATGCAAAGTCCTATCTTGGCTTTCATCCATCCACCCTCCAGTGCTTCCTGCCAAACTAAGTAATCAGAAATTGCTTGATCAGCCACTTCAATATTACAGTATTACACTTGCACAGCTTTACTCTTCATATTTTACTGTTTTCTATGTCAAATGCTGTGCTTTGTAAAATACCCTCTAACTACCATCATAGCCAAAGTATCCTCACGACTAACATGCCTTTGAGTATCACTCAATAACCTTCTATTTGCAGAAGGGGTCAGTATACAGGTTGGTTCTGCACAATGACAAAACCGCTTCAGAACGTAAACATTCCCTGCAAGAAAAAAAAAAAAAAAAAGACAAGTACAAACTGTTGCATCCAAACATCCTAGTCTCATCTTATTTGGGGGAGCAAGTTTATTTTAAAATAAGTTGTATCAACTAAGCTTAAAAAAAAAAATCTAACCGCACTGACTTATTTTATATGCTATTAGCACCCAGAAGCTTCACTTGATGCCATGGGCTTCAGTTAGGTAGTGACTGAAAAGTTCCATTTGCAATGAGTTATGTCCTCAATCACCTGGAAGTTAGTCTTTCAATTGCCTAAGAAAATGAACATACACAATTATGTCATAAAAGGTACATTATCTATAAACAAAAAGTCACCAAGGAGTTGCTACCTCCAACTTCATCACCAAAATTCTGAATGACTTATCAAAAAAAAACAGGCAAATACTAGACAAAAGAACCCTCCATTCTCCATCCCTTTAATCTTTCAGCATTCAAGTGTCAAAACTTACTGCATCAGGATAGCAAAGATCTAGTATTTTATAAAAAGGAGAAGGACAGAGCTGTGTCACTCGAGATTCTTGCAGTATCTGATAGCACATAAATGTACTTTACGACATTACATTATAAAAAATGTTCAGATAATATAACCTATATTCAAACTGATAAGTGCAAAGGGAGTACGCCACTTTCAGAAACTATTTTATTAGAACTGCCTAAGCAGTTTCATACAAAAGAATTGCAGTATTTTAAGATCTTTAAATCCAAGACCAAAGTTTGCAATTATTTAAAACAATGTCTTAAATTGCTATT